CCTTAGTTTTATGTGCTCAATCACATGGGCGTCAGAAAAACAACCCATGAGAACTTACACTTCTCCTACCATGTAGGGTTCAAGACAAAATCATCACTAACTCCTAACTCTAATACCATTTATAAGAAGGCTGACTCGATAAGCAAACAATTTGCAGGTAATCTCGAGAGTAATCGAGTAAAAGGCTTGAACATTTATATTGTATAAAAAAATTGGCTTGTTAGTTGTTACTAGCTTTCAAGAATTATTTGTTTTTTTCACAAAAATTTATTTTTAGGTTTTTTTCAAGAGCCCGGAAAGGTCTTTGGTGACTTAGCTTATCTTATGGTGACTGGCTTAGGCCTTGGATGCTGCTAATTAATTAATATTTACAGTAACAAAAATCTTAATAGCAATGTTTTAAGCCTAAAGGTAGAATTTCTGTTTCATTTTTTATAAAATATAAATTTATTTTTCTAAAGAACCATATATACAATACCGTGATTAAGTTGCTACAGGAAAGATACTAAAAAAAAAAAATATTCAACTCTTAACTATGTCTTTAAGTTCTCATTGTTGTGCTATAATCATAAAAAGAGGAGAGGAGAACCCTTCAGTTTGACAAATTCCAGAACTCTGCTTTGAATCTAAAACTGAATATCAATAAGAATTATCTTTGCCATTCAGTTTTGAAGAATTGTTGAAGATTTCCCTTTATTTCTCTTTTGCCACACAGATTGTAAGCAGCTACATCCAATAGTGTAGAAATTAAGGAAAACAACATAAAAGTTCAAGGATGTCAATTCCATATCAACGATACAACCAGCGGATTTTAAATGAAACGAAAAAATGCCTAAATGGTTGAAATCTTTGATGTCTCTATATTTTAGTTCCCTCAAATATTCTACGAATTTTTGTAACAATTTTATTTGTGTTTCTAGCTACCATCAACCATATCAAAGGCTCTTAATAAAAAATAAAATAAAATAAATTACATCAAAGTCTATAAAAATATACACGGCTACTCTAGTTCTCTATGATATTCATTCTAATAACAGAAATAGCATGATAATTTTCACAAGATTTTCATTATTTAACGTGTAATGGAGTTAATTAAATACGTGCTTATTTATATATTTGTAAACAAAATGATCATGCAAATATTATATGCGAATGTGAAAATCTCCATTCATGCAAAAATGCTAATACAATGGAAATAATAACACAAAATATATTATGCACTTCCAACTGTATCAAATTGTATGATATAAACTAATAGATAAGAACAAGACCTCTTGATATTAGAGTTTATTTTTCATTAGAAGATTCTTATTTTGTAATATGATATAATCTAAATTATAAAATAGAAAACTTATAATAGTAATTGTAAACAATAACAATAATAACATTAATTAATTCCTAAAATTTTAGTTAATGTTATGGCAGAAAAAACACCTTTTTTATCAACAAAGGAAGAGGATTGTACTGTTTAAGAAGTTACGGATCATTCCTATTAAAATTTTGCATGTGAGTTTCAATATAACACACCCCTCACACACTCTGATATCATATAAAAATTAAGTATGTTTAAGATCTAATTTAAAACTCTCTTTGTATTTAACCTATATATTTTTTTGTAATTGGCAATAAATTGAAATGAAATTTTCTCATTCAACAATTCCAACCCATTACAAAATATTAGGCTTGAATGAAGTAAGATTTACCTGATAAGAACGCTGCCTGATGCTGTTTGTGATTTATCTGCAAGGGATTGTGTTTTCTCAGTTTCAATAAGTTCCTCTCCCCTGTTCGGGAACTAAAGTAAAACCAACTTTGAAGTTGGGCCACTATTATTGATTTTGCCTCCCAAGTCCCAACTTCAAACCTCGAATCTTAAATTTTGAAAATTCCATGGCTATAGGCTTGATGTTTGATATGGTAAATAAAAATTTAAAGACAGTTTATATTTTTAGACATATTATCTTTATTATTCCCTAAAAAAGAAATAAAGATAAAGAGAAATTTTTGTTAATAAGATAAAACAAGGTTAAATTTTAAAAAATATTTATATCTCTTAAATTATGAAAGAAAGAAAATTACTACTGGGTGTGGAAACACGACTCAAAGGGTTCATATACAGTGAGATTAGCTTATGCAACTTTAAACCAGAGCCAGAACAGCAGACTAAATACCAACTACAAGCTGATATGGGACAATAAATTACCACTGAAGATTTCTGCTTTCCCATGGGGAGCCCTACAAAACAGGATTCCAACCAGGGATAATCTACTAAAAAGAGGAATGATGATGGAGGCAACAGCAGTGAAGTGCTTTTTTTGCGGTGATAAGATGGAGGCTTCAGAACATATCCCTCTTCTCATGCTCAATCTCATGGAAAATATGGTGCCTATGTTATGATTGGTGGGGCATTAGAACGACAGCACATGAAGGCGGATGGAACTACCTCAAGCAGCATATGGGCCTTGTCAATACAGGAACAACCAGTAAGGTATGGTCAATTATATGGTTTTTTTCAGTGTGTTCTATATGGTTATGGAGGAACTCAATCCTTTTCAAGGGGGAACCACTGAATCTTGAAAAAGTGTTTGATCTCATCAAACCTCGCTCCTTCTTATGGATCAAAGCAAGATGGATCCCGAACCTATCCAAGGTGAACTGGTTCAGAAATCCTAAGGAAGCTTGCAGAATGCCCAATTGGTAAGACAACATTTTGCATAACAGGAAGGGAGGAAACAGATTTATGAAAGGATTTTGGGTCTGGATTAATGTAGTGTTAAAACAAATGACTCTTCCTCCTTAGGGGTGGGCAAAACCGGTTTCGGTTAAAACTGAAACTGGTTTTAAAATAATCGAAAATTTTTTCCTTTAATTTTGAGAATCAAAATTGAATCGAAATTTTTATAAACCAATTGGTTTGATTATCAATAAAATTGATTTGGTTTCGGTTTTTGGTAAATAAATATTAATCAATTATTTTTTAATAATGGTTTACATTTTATCACATGTTTTTTCATATTTTGTCATATTTATCCTAATTTCGGTTTTCAAGGGCTTATTTTTGATTTTTGGTTTTTAAAAGATTCAATTGAAATCAAACCAAAAGTTATTTGGTTAATATCAAAACCGAAAAAATAAAAATAAAAAACCATTGAAATTAAACCAAATTCATTTTTTCGATTCAATTTTTGGGTAACCTGTCAGTTCGGACTCAAATGCTCAGCCTTATTCCTCCTGTTGTAGTATGTAAATGGGTTTGAGGTACTCTTGTACCTCGTAAATAAAAATTTTTAATTGGCTGATTAAAAAACAATGAAAGAAAGAACATTAATCTGAGATAAATATTGAATAAAAAAACAATATTATTATAGAATGAAATGAGTAAATTTTATCCTACCATGCAAAGATAGCTATGAAGATATTGCACCTTAGTCCTTCCATTTTAGCTAGTCTCTCGATTTTCAACTTCAATTTAGATAATAATTTTTTTAGAACATATTACAAATTAAGAATGGGGGGAATGAACCAAACTCAAGGGGTTGGGGGTGCATCTATCAAGGTGGCAAAGCCACTGAACCTAGAGGTCGGAAGCCAATTTAGATAATTATTTATAGAGAGCATTTCCCCAAAAATAATTTGTATAGACTCAAGTGGACTTGATGGTGATCTATTATAACGAATTTTTCCTTGCAAGTTACGACATAATCCTTTTCTGAGAGAGGACCAAATTGTCACTCAGTGCGTATTTCTGTTAGTAATAGATAAGGGAATATATATTTTTTTAAAAAGAATAAATATTATCAAAAGAAAAAAGAAAAGAGAAGTCAAAGAAACTATTAAAATATTGAAAAAGCTAAGGGTGTGTGTTTCAAAAATTAGAAAATAATTATCAGTTGAATGAGTTTAATCAAACGGTTTAAATATTTTAATTTATAAATAATAATAATTATTAATAATTAAATATTAACTATTAATTATCAATTGTATCAAAATAACCAATTCAAACAACCCTAAGTCACAACGTTTGCCGCACAGCCGCATCAACTAAAAACCAATCTATATTATAATTTTTTTTTTTTATCAGCAATCTATGTTTTAGTTAATTAAGAAGTTATTAATAGGTCACATAGTACATAAATTTTAGAGTTTTTTATTTTGTATTTTAAATTATATCAAATTATAAAATAAGATTAATTAGATTAGAAGATAATCTCTAATATTAAAAATATACCTCTCATTTATTGGTTTAAATTGTACCATTTAAACTATATAATATTTTTTTAAAAAAAATTTATGTGAATTATAAGAATATCCTATTTTACAATCTAAATTGAGCTTGATTGTAAAATAAAAATCATTAAATAAAAATAAGATCTCGATATAATTATATAGTTCGATATACTTTAAACTATATAATACTTTTTCTAAATTATAATTAGTGGTAAAAGTTAAAAGTTGATATTTATTTAAACATTCAAAATTAAGACAAACTACCGCAGAAGTTCAATCACAAAGAAGAGTCTAAAAAAGGGTGACGGTGCTTATTAGCACTTACGCTTGTCCTCAGAAGATCCTGAGTTCTTTTTGACGGCGACCATGAAATTATCCAAAACAATCAAACTGCCGCGTAGAGCCGCTTGTTTGCTGTTTGGACAAAGAAAGCGAGTCAAAGGTAAGGAAAACAACACGCACGCCATCAATGAACAATACCCAATTTTGCTTTCCATAAAATCATTTTGATTTTATCACCTGTGCTGTGCATGTATTTCACCTAAAGTTGGGTTGATAAATCTCTCCCCACCAATTTGGTCAAACGAAATTTGTTAGCATATGTTTCAAATGTCAAAAACGTAACTTCCTCAAAGAGTAATACCCCTCAACTCACCTAAATTAATGTCAACCTTCTCTATAAATACATACAAGTTAGATACCATGTGGCTTCAGATAATAAGCATAGAGGAAAACAAAGCAGCATAGTCATGGAAGGCTTGATTCCCTACCTACTTCAAGCTATGAAGAAGCAGAAAACTCACCGCAGCTTCAGGTCTAAGTCTATGGACTCTAGCAGAAGCTACCATCTGATGATTGGCGGTGGACAGGACTCGCTTGAGGGCTCATCTCACCGGCGAACCAGGTCTGAGTTCCAGCCACCTAACGAGGAAGTTCTGGAGCAGAGTGGGTTTAGCAAGGGTACTCTCAACTACCCATCAACGGTTGGTGGCTCAAACATGATCAGCAGCTCTTATCCTCAGCAACAACTGTCCCAGCCAAGCTACAACATTGCTCCCAATCTTCGACATAGAAGACATTAAGTTTCAAAGATCAAACAGAAAATGCAGAGTTTGAAGTTAATGATTCGATTGATTTGTTGAATGGTCTTTCTTCTAGTTATTTGGACATTATCTGCAAGTGTATCCTGTTAATTAAGATATTGTCTTGATTCTTAAATGTTGAATTGTGCATTCAAACAATTTATGTAATGAAAATGAGAGAGCTGTCCTGCAAATGCCACATGATTTGCTAAATAAATTCAGTTTCTCCTTTCTGATAAGTAATGTGCTTGAGGATGGACGAGCATCTTATTTTATTTTTAAGTTGTATTATGTCCAAAGAGTCCTCCTTTGCAGTCCGAACTGCAAAAAATAACCATTAGAGGAGGCCTACATTCAAAGGGCATCCCCACATGCCAGACTGCACAAAACATTTTTGTACTGTCTAAAGGTATGATACACAAAAGCTGTCCTCAATCTTTTAGTAAATGCAAGCTTCAAGTCACTCCAACATGGATTCATCCATCTAGTCTAGAAGAGAAAGATAGAAAAAGATAAGATGAATCCAGGATTGATACAACTGCCGTTGTCCAGGACTTGTTAATCAAGCTCCAGAATCTGAATAGTTAATTTGATGGAAACTGGTTAAGAGACAAATTTTTTTATACAACTTTATTAAATTTCTTGCAGAAGCAAAGAAAAAATAATGGCTAATACCCATGTTGGAGAAAGGAATGTGAGTGATATGGGTAAGTTGCTTTAATTATTTTATTATTTTAGGACATCTCTGAATCATGTTCAGACATGATTCAGAGAAAATTTACCTAATCCCAACAACTACCTAGCAAACAACCCAAGCCCCCAGAATTTAGAGATTGAAGCTCATAGATAAGGAAAGCATGTAGCACTTGAATAAAAGTCAAAAAGCACATAGAACAAGACTAATTCAAACTCAAACCAATCTAAATGTAGATAATGATTCCTAAGTCAACAATACCTGATGCATTTGCAACACAAATCTATATCTAAAAGCAAAATATTATGTCAATCTTAACATACCGAAACTTCCATGACAGAAGTATAGACTTGTTTTCGTGGCAACCTCATTTATCTAGAACAAGAATGCTTTCATGTAATCACAAGCCAAAATCGGAAGCTAAACAAAGGAAAAATTAAAAATCGCATTTTTTTTAGATTATTGTAGCAAACTCAAATTTATAATTCCAAATCCAAAATGGATTACATGTTCTCTTGGTTTTGCCTACTAGCTTCCTGCATAACTCATTACAAGAATATATGGACAAAACTGTTACACATCCAATTTGCAGCAGATTAACTTACATGGTTGGGTCGAGGTGCTTACAATCTATGCCTCCTTTAAGGAGAATTAACCCACTTCTGGTTTTGCCGCAGCAGTCCACAACGAATTCTTCAATGTCATTTTCACCAGCAGGACCAAGACTTGTCTGCAAATAACAAACTAATTATTATTTACTATACAGTACACATCAAATTGAATTGCTGAGAAATTTTTTATATAAAATAAAGGGGAAAAAATCATTCCAAGTAACTGCCTTTTAGACTCCCAAAGAAAATTGAACCTATCCAGGCCAGGCCCTAAAACCAGACTTTGGAAGAAATACCTCAATTGTCATCACATTTCCCAGGCCATTGTCCATTACAATGCCTCAGTTTCATGATATTTTTCCAAAAGTTAGAAAAGAAAATTAGAACATACTTTGGGAAGTCCATGTTGTCAAAGAAAGGTTGAAGCATTACCATCTAGATGATGATAAAGGCAAGTTTAAATAAGCGGGAAAATAGAAAAATACAAAAAACAAGGAATAAGTGTGGTATTTTTTGTTTTTTAGACACCTCTCTCCTCAGGCAATACAAGGGTCTAGCACCTTAATTCTTTTGCATTTGATGACCTTGACTAGCTGCAACAAAACTCCAATACTTCATACGTTTGTTATTCTCACCTCAACAAGGTTTGTCTTGTCAAAGATGTATATCTTCAATGTCAGTTAAGAGACTTGTATTTTCAGGAGATCTCTTATCAGATAAGTTCACCACCAGCTGACCACATGCACCACTTATATCTTGACCCATTTGCTTACGAACTGTAGTACGAATGTTGTAGGTGCCCCGAAGAATTTTCTGAAATTCTGATACTCTATGCTCACTGCTAGTTCTAAATTGACTTGAACTACCAATTGGATTGAAAGGTATCAAATTCACAACCTGCGTGAAATGGCAGTCTGTTAAATGGAAAACCAGATGAAAGAGAGGAAAATAAAAGCATATCTACTGAGAGCTTATCAGCTAATAAAACAAGATATATGAGCAGGCCACATTTCATAAACTAGCCCATTACGCTCATTTTTGCAGAAATTGTTTTTTGCTTCTCCTTGCAAAAGACTTGTGGTCAAGTGTTTCTTGCAAATAAAAACTTGACAAAGGGCAGAGCAAACTAACGCACAGCTTGAGGTCCTGAGTCAAACATCCCTATTTCTTTCCCCAGCCTCCCCATAAAAAAGATAAAAGAAATACACACTTGTGAACCATACTATTCTACTTTTCAAGAATTCTTAGATTTATAATGAAAAACACACCACTTTTAGAGTCTCCAGTAACTTGCCAAGCTGGTGTGCATGCTGCTCTTCATCATTCACCCCATCAAGCATAATATACTCAATAAATATTTTTTGTTGACTAAAAAAGGAAACAAACAGAAGGTAGATGTTAAGATGTAATATTACAGCAGAAGCATAAAATATGAACTTGTAATTTAATCTTAAGCAGAAAAGTAACCTATTTTTTTGATACACTTGCAGTGCATCCATAAGTTTCTCCAAAGGAAAAGCTCTTGCAGAAGGCATTATTTGGCAACGGATGTCTTGAACTGGTGCATGCAATGACACTGCTAGGTTCAAACCTGGAAGATCACCATGAAGCTTGTTGATAGCATGAATTATCCCAACCTACATGAGATTAGAAGCAATACGGTGTTTGAAGTCAAGTGTCACATGGAAGAAAGATGAACGCTTGAACCTTTGATAGGTGGATATAATGACTAAGTGTAAACACGAGATGCTGACGATGACTTGCATAAATTAGAATAAGATTAAAATTGGATGGCATACTGTTGAAACTGTAATTTTCTTAGGTGACAGCTGAAATGGTGATCCTATCATGATGCGGATTGCTTCCACCAAGGCAGTATAGTTATTCAATGGTTCCCCCATTCCCTAACCAAAAACAAACATAAAAAATCAAATTTCAGCTTGTTTTTTGGGCCACAACAAATTCTAGATTCCGTCATTATGAGAGGGCAATTGCCACGAATCATTCTTAACAAGCATGATAAAGATCTAACCAATCAGAATAGCAGGAAGAAAGAAAAACATAGTTACCATGAAAACAACATTGCGTATGTTAGACAGACGAGAAGCATGAACCAGTTGTTCAACAATCTCTCCTGATGACAGATTGTTCTTAAATCCCATAGTTCCAGTTGCACAAAATTTGCAACCCATTTTGCACCCAACCTGTAAATTTGTGTCATGAAATAAAATTTAGAAAAACATCTAAGAAAGAACTTCCTAACTACAGATTTTTCAGATAAAATAATTCACTGACACTAAGACAGCAACTGGACATGTTATCTGGATCTTGAAACTTAGAAGACACTAAACTAAGAGAAATTGAAGAGGAAAGAGTATAACACAAAAGACAGATGATACCTGCGATGATATGCACAAGGTTGACCTCAGGCCACCAGGACGGGGTTTCCCTCCGTACTTCCCCAAACGGGTATCATACCTCATAATCACAGCCTCCACAAAAGCTCCATTCTAGTGAAATATATTAGAATTCAAACATCAAGAACTATTAAAAGAACGAACTCTTGCACTTAAAAACATGCTAATCTATGTTCAAGCAGCAATCTTTATGCTATTCAAGGAGAATAAATCCAAGCATCCTAAACATACAAGTCTCAAGTTTATAAATTCAAAAGAAAGGCAACGGTTTTGAAAGCAATGAGAAAGGAAAACGGGCACCTGGAGTTTGACAAGGAGTTTGGAGGTGAACCCATCAGTAGAATGGCTAACAGAGTGTAGAGTGGACGTGAGAGGCTTGAAGTTTGAACGGAGTAGAGGGTACGCCGCCGACGGCAAGTCAGGAACTTCATCCAGCTGGCGATCAGGGTTTTGTATCGCGAACCTGCATCACCCCAAAAACGAGAAGACAAACAAGTTTCAGAAACTAATATAAAAACACCTAATTCATTCATAGCCGGAGTTCCAAAAATCAAGATGGAAACTCAATATGTAGAAGAGGAGGAGGAGAAGTAATATACTTCCAGATGGAGGGAATGAATCGGTGGCTGATTCCGGCGTCGTGGAATTGGGTCTTCAACTCCGACGCGTCGAATACTGATCGATGCGGCATTCTGTTAATTAATCTATTCTTCACTGTTCTTCTGTCCTAGTTCATGTTCATGTTTTGATTATAGGTTTTCGCTTCCTTTTGTGTATTTTGACATTTGGTATTATTATTAATGAAATGCTGTCGTTTTGTTGCTACAAAACTAAGCAGAGCTACAGCTGACCTCCCAACTTTGTTAGGCTGAGGAAACTCCATTGCCTCTCTTAAGAAGAAGAGAAAAATTGGGTTTCTGTAATATTAATATGTGCTCCAGTGCTTATGTAATGATTGTATTTTTTAGTTTTTTTTTTTAACAGTTTACAATGGAGGCAGGGGATTCAAGCTTTAATTTGAAGGTGAAATGATACACCTTACAATTGAGTATAGAATCATTACGTCACGAGATACAAATACTTGTAATTTTTAGTTATTAAATTATATAAAAACTTAGATTTTAATTTTATGAACTAACTAGTTATGATAATATGAGTGGCATTTGTGTTAGAATTAAATATCAATTTTTTAAAATTTTTTTATTTGATTTATTAATTAAAAGGTATATTAATTCACATAGCACAGGTTAAAAAGACCTTTAAAAAATAAAATAAATAAATACATAAAATTTAGTTATTGGAAACTCACTTAGATCTGAATCATCTTTGAGTTGCTCACATTGTCAAAAAAGAGATTAAGCTTTTGAAACACATTCTCTTGAAAATTCCTATTAGGAGCCCTCACTGTCACCTGGAGGGACAAATCTGCACACAAGAGATATTCTCCATGAAGGAGGAGCCCTAACCCAAGCCGAACAAACCTGTCAAGTAACTGTATAAGAACTACTAAAACACCAGAAAACAATAGAAGAAAAAAAAAAGATAAAGGGAGAGCTTCTCCCTCCAAGCAGGCTATTTTTCATTCTTCCCTCTTGTGGAGGCAGCTGATACAGTTTTGGTTTAAAATCTGTCATGATTGGCAAAAATTTTTCTACTTTTTTATTTGGTAGTGACGCTCTTCTTATAAGATTTGCTCATAACATATTGACTATTTTCACTCAAGTAAGCATTCATTCATTTGTTGACTTGTGATTATTATGACTTACAAAGATTTGTTGTCAACATGTGTCAATCATGGGTGAAAAAGGGAGTGTCATTAGTTAGCACTGCTTCCAACTCTGAAGATGCTATCAGGCATTCAAGGAAATTGTCCCTGCACTTCTAACACCAAACACTGAGAAACTGGAAAGTTCCCAAAAACAAAGAATCAAGGACAACTGTTCAATTTAACGCGGTAGCCCTGATAGTAGCACAGAGTTGCAACAATGAAGGCAGATAACACTTTGTACCCTCAAAAAGATATGCTGATGCTATTTAGGTTTCCATCAAAGGTCTTGACAATGGCCAGAAAAAGAAAAACCAAAGGCCTTGACAACTAAACTGACAAGCAAAATACAAGGAACTGAAATAGTTAACATAGCCTGAATTCTAAGAAGCTAAGAGGGCCTCCACCTTTGCAATCTGATCCTCTTCATTCTTTCGTGGTGGACTCTTGCTAGCCTCATCAAACAGATCATGCTTCCACTTCTCAGCACGAGTACCACTTGAACGAAACCCCCCTTGCCTTCCAGTGAATCTGTCCCTTTCCCTGAAATTGTCATCTCCACCACCACCTCTTCCATGTCTTTCTCTTGATGAGAATTCACTCCTCTGCACTTCTCCCCTGTTTAGCACCCGATCAGCAGCAGATGGCCTCTCATGTCTATCTGAGTGGCGGGGGTTTTGATCTCTGCCTTCCCTTCTTTCACTCAATGAAACTGGTTGATGAAAACGGCTTACCTTTTCTGGCTCTATAGATGCTTTATCAGCATTCTCAGAGTCCCCAACTGTTTTCTTCTCCCTGAAGGCAGGCCTTTTCCTGGCCGCTGGTGGTGGTGGGGGTGGAGGCGGAGGATTGGCTTCTGTTTCAAAGAACCTATCATGGCGCCAATTCCCCTCATCATCTTCCTTACCTTCTGGTTTCTCATCTCTTTGGCGTTTGTCATACCTTTTTGCTGCCCTTTCATCATGATGATCCCTTGAATCTCTCCACCATCCACGTTCTAGAGAACACGATAAAGGAAAAAGGTCAGGTTAACTCCTCCCTTACCCAAAACCAGAACCAGGAAAGAACTAAAGGAAAGGGTCTTTCATGTTTTGAACGGCAAGCGCAGGACATAATGTGTGAAAATACAAGAGCTTAAAAAGAACTAAAGAAAATAACTTACCAGGAGCTGCTCTGTGGCCAAAGCTTCGACCAACTTGAGTGGCATTACCACGCTCATCATGCTGTTATAAGACATACACAGGCAAGCCTAAGATTGTTATATACACGCAGCACCAAAAGCACAGGGCCGAACAAGAATTCCACTACATCAGCCCAAAAAAATGGTTTGAACTTTGAAGTTTTAACACACTGAATAACAACCAAGTAATTAAACTCAACAGAGATGTCAGTTGTTTATGAGCTAGTTATCCCTTCCATGTCAACTTGAGGTGTGGTTCAAGCTATGGGCTTGCTTGTATAAAAGAAACAAATAAATAGCACATCAAATATTTTATCATTAAAGAGAATACAAGCAACGCAGTTAGCTTACATTAAATTTGACCCAACAATTCTAAACTAAAATGGTACTTGATTACGGTTGTTCCACTTGCATAATTTTTCATCAGTTTCTGATGGACAGAAATGGACTCTACATCCACAATTCATATCAAAAAGTATAAAATTGATCTCATGACAGTTAGATTCTTGTTCAGAGGTTCTCCACTCTAGTTGATAGATTGATTAATACCTTAAAAATCCAAATTTCAACAGATCCACTAAACCAAAAGCCAGAAAAATCAACAACTTAGATGCATAGCATATACCCTTTAGCCATGGTGTTCTGCCAATTCCAACTATATCCCACACTGCTGCGAGAGCTGACGCAGTGACATCTAGCAAAGGCATATGCTTGAATTGAATAGAATGAAAAATCAAAAGAAATGCATATTCAAGAACCAACCTGAAAATATGAGCGGGACCTAGGTACTTCAGTTGGATGAGAAGAACGTTTCACTGCTTCATGGTTGAGGGCATCATGCTTCTTTTCTGGGTGCATGCCAACATCCTCATTTCCAACCTTGGAATCAGGCGTTTCTTGGGCCTCAAGTGGTACAGCATCCTGTAGCCGCCGGCGTTGCTTTTGATCCCGATCTGGATGCTCTCCAACATCACCGTTTCTGGGTACTCTTTCGGTCCCTGGTTTCCCATCCCTCCTAGACCTTTTAAGACTACGAAAAATTTGAGAAAAAATTGATTGCATAATGGATGAGAATCACCAAAAGACTGGAATGGTGGAGAGAAAGAGAGGAGTACCTGAGTTCACGGTCGAACCCGGAGGAGTGTCGCCTGGAATCGGAATCTCGACCGTCTCGACGGGACATTCTGGTTTTCGTATAGAGAAAGGGAGTTACAGTCAGAGAAGGAGAAGAAGTGCAGGGGTCTTTGGGGACTCTCACCCTGGCCGCACGATTAGAATACCACTTTAGACTGGCGGTCGAGATTTTTTTGTTTAGGATGCCCCGTAGAGTGGGTAAATGTCATTGTTGGTTGATAAACTATGGTGTTATTATCAAATTCACTACATAAACTTTACTTTCTTTCAAATTGGTCTGCTAAGAAAACGTCACTGCTTTGCACATGGAATTGGCTTTTCCCTGGTTTTCGTACAACTAGTTCTCTTATTATATTCCTAGCTTTTTTTGGCACTTTAGTGGGTTAAGCAGGAAATTTAGAAGCAAAGTCACCAACCCCACCATTTGATTTCTTCTCCTCTACTTTTTCACCCAGTTGACAATGTCTGCTACTGCTAGTATGATCAACCCACAGCACAAGAAAAAAAAGAAGACGAGAAAGAACACAAGCCAAGGACCTGGACTTTTCTCTGGATTCGGCAAGGCAGCCCAGGGTTTGTTTGATCTTTATAATACTTTAGCACAGCTATTCTGATTTCATTGTTTCTTTTGTTCATTTTGGAGAGATGGGGATTCTCTGCTTATTTTATTGCTCACAGAATCATCAAGCTGAGTGATAGGTTTTGAATGTCTCCGTAGAATTGTCAATCTCATTTGCCATGTAGAAAAATCTCACATCCGCAAAATAGCGAAAAAAACATGTGAATTAAATATAAAAACACTTACTTCATCCATTATTAATTAGTGTTAAGTTTGACGTAAGCTTTTGTTTAAAGCTCATGTACCCAATTTTGCAACCAACTCAAAACAACAGAAATCTAAGAAGAGAAGAGATTTTTCTAGGTTTTGATCAAAGGGAAAGATACCCTTTTGAGTTTTGAGGATCATTTTCAAATTAAATTGGCAGATAGGAAAGCTCTTTTTTAAGCCCTAACTTTGATATGTGTATATGTTCAGAAATTAGAAGTTCTTTAACACAAACTAAGAGTACATGTAACATGACTAATTGCAGGTGTGCTTACAAAGGGCTATAAACAGGATTGGCTATTTTGCATCTCGACCCCCAGATATGATCGATGGGTAAATGCTGATCTTACCTTTTGATTCGTATGACATCATTCTCCTTAGTTTCAATTTTCCAGTGAAACTGAGAGTATCCTCTACATTGCTTTCAGAATTATACTTCAACTGCACTGAAACAAGAAAGTGGTTCAATAATGGGGGTTACAGCAACATATGAGTACGATGATAACACAACAATCCACATAAACCTTGACACAAAATCACTTGTGAGTTTGGTTTGCTTTCAGGTGCTGCAATTGAATTAGAAATTTAGAATGCCTGCACTAATCAGGATTTTGAGCTTCTGCTTTTTACTTCTTTGAATGGCAGATCTCAACAACTTCCACTTTTGGTATTAAGTTTCCGCCATTCACAAATGTTACAGCTTCACTGAGCCTACCTGATTACAATTCTAGCAAGGTATTGAATCATGTTTAGGCATCTGATTCCTTGACACAGTGACAAGTCACAAGTATCATGATGTAAAAACAGTGTCATCCTAACTGCAGATACATGTGTTTTATCATTCTATTTCAGCTGAAGATCCAGTCTCAACGCTTTAGTAGCAATTCAGCTTTAGCCATGTTTCTCTCTCTAGACCAATCCCCTGCAGTTAAACTTTCAGCAACAGTTGGATCTCCAGGCCTTGCATTCGGCGCAGAGACAAAATACAATATTTCTACTGATTCATTCACCAAATTTAATGCGGGAATTAGCATGATGAAGCCTGATTGCAATGCTTCAATAATTATGTATGTCATCATGCTTAAATCACAAACAACATGAATAAATCAAAATATAAACTGCATTTCAGGTATATCGATTGCAATGCTTAGATATTTCTCTATGTCATCATGCTTAATTCACAAACAAGAATAAATCAAAATATAAATTGCTCTTCAGGTATATATTCAGCATAGATGCTCCAGATCATGGTATTGGATCTTGAACCGATGGTGTCTATTAACTATTTTGATGTTTAACAAGTTCGTAATCTATAAAGAATACCTGATTTGCATTAAAAATCTAATAATCAAACTCAAATATCATTCTTCAAGTTTGTTGCCTTGCAGAACAGTTAAATGTTATGTGTGTTACTTTGATCAGTCAAGGGAGATTTCCAAGAATGTCAAATGATCTTAACTCAAAGACTTTCTTTTTGTAAAATTTTCAGGGCAGATTTCTGTGACCACCCAAGAGCGTCATACATGCAATACTTTGATCAGTCAAGGAAGACTGCTGCTGTTGTAGAGATCGGCAGGAAGTTTTCTGAGAGCAAAAATACCTTCACAGTTGGAGTATCACGCATTGTGGATGATGTAAAAGTGAAGGCAAAGCTTGACAATGAAGGAAAGCTCGGGACTCTCCTCCAGTATAAATTCAAACCCAAGTCATACCTAAGAATCTGTGGTGAGTTTGACACTATAGCTCCCCCAAGAATCGGATTAGCTGTTGTTCTCAAGCTCCCCCAAGACTAGGATTAGCTCTTAGTGGCAGTAATGGTGCAGGAGAGAAAGGGTTCTGGATACCCTTAAAGGTCCCTCCTTGTTTATGTGCAACTAAGGACTGAAGACACTGAATTTCCTTTGTATCAATATGTAACTTGTCTAAATTCAGAATTCCTACCTTATCTTTACATATTGATATGATTTTTAGATTTTTTTTTTTTTTCAGATTTAGCTCTGAGGTTTGAATCTGCTGCACCATTTTATTAGAAGCTCTTCCAAACTGGCATCCATTCGGGTCCCGATTCCTCCCCACACCAACATGTGAGCCATATCCTCAATTGTAGAACCAGTCACTTCATGCACAACCCTGAAACCTATCCTTCTATAGAACCTAACAAGCTGGAAATTCAAAACAACATAAATAACCTTATTCTACTCCTTCCAAAACTCAATGCTGAAACATTAGCAGCAACTTTAGGCAATTACCTTGGTATGGTAAAGATCTGAGTCATTGATGGCAAGCAATTCAGCGGTCTTGCAACCACAGTCGTATCCATATCGAATTGCTACAGCTCCAATGAACAAACCAATGCCAAAGATGGATCTCTCCATCCCTAGTGTCTCCCTCTTCAGTCTAATTGAGTCCAAGTGCAGAATTCTGCCTCCAAACCATACCCTTATCAGCCCCTCTGCTCTCCCAAGCTCCCTCTTGGTCTCCAGGCTCTTGGCAGTGATTCTAAAAAAGGGTCCTATTCTCTGGAGCTGAAGATCAAGTTTCTGAGCTCTAGATGCAGCCAAAATCTCAGACATTGATGGAATAGAGTCATCAATTCGAGTTTTCTCGTGTGGGGTGACATGATTTTGGAAGGAATTCAAATGGGGTTTTGATGCAATGGGGTTTGGAAGCTGAGAAAGTGGAATTGTCTTGGATTTTGTTGGGATTCTTGGATTTGGATAGGAAAATTTGGAAATTGTTTTGTGAATCAGAGCTAGTTCCATCTGTTCCTTACTTTGGGATTAAAAAAAATACAAAAACTGCAGAGAAGGAGATTTAGTCATCGGATTGTTGATGAGGGTGAGGGGTTTAAAAGACTCCACGTGGCAGACAATGAATCACATGTTCAATTTCCGTTAATCAGGTGAGGATGATTTACCGTAATAAATTTTTTTTTTTTGAACATGCGATTTACCGTAATAATTTCATTTTTAATCACCTTTATTTTATCATAAATACTAGAGTTTTAATTTCACCTAAAATTATAACATGATTTATGATTGAAACGAGTACCCTGAATTGGCCAAGAAGAATAAAATAGTATATATATATTTTTTATATTTACCTTTGGAGTGTTTTTAAATTTTCATATTTGTTTTTTTAAAATATATTAAAATTTAAAATAATTAATAATTTAATAATAATTTTTTTTAATAAATATAACATATTCTGAATTTAACTCATATAAAATATAAGTAGGATAAATTAAGAGATAAAAAAATTACTTTTCATTATGTTACTCATAATAAAAAATATATATATTAAAACTAATTTACTCTTAATTTCTTTTGTCTTCATTTAATCTTAAATTGTGTTATGTATGGTTTCCTGTCTAAAAAATGGAACTTTTCTTTCTTGCATAATGTTACATGGCTTGTCTATCCAGAAATAAAATTTTAGTTTAGTTTAAGGAAATAAAGAAAGAAAGAAAGAAAAAAAAAACAATTTCATTGGCACCATAAAATAAATTCAGATTCACTATTTTACTGCATGTAAAATGCCAATTATTTAAATGAAGCAGTCCTTTTTAATTTAATAATTAATAAATTTATATTTTAATTTAATTTATTTTGTAAAATATTTTTTATA